TCTGCTCCTATGATGCTGCTTGACCTGCTGTGTTCATCCAGCCCTGCACCTTGTTGCCTCGGATTCACCAGCATCTGCAGTTCCTACTATCTCTAAAAATTGATACAGTTGCTTTATGTAAAACTGATGGAAAGAGTGAAAAGGCCATCGGGTTCATAAGTGCTCATTCACCATCCTTCCCTGTCACTAGTAGTAGTGGCAACTTAGGAATTAAATGTAAACAATAGTGGAGAGGCCGAATGAACACCAGTGCGTGATAAATGATAGGCTCTTACCACGAAGGTGGATAGCTGGAGGGAAGAAGTCCACTGCACCATCACCACTACCGCTGGTACCTATGTCAAAGAGTTCAGCCACTTCAAAATAAACACACAGCACATTCACACACATTAAAACAGACAAGGCAATGAAGAAGAGAAAACACACCGCTGACTCAGCTGAAAGATCAGACAGAATCTTTTAATACAATAAAGCAATATTATTTTAAGCTGTAACATTAATCGTAAGACATATTGCATTCAACCTACTTGGAGTATAATGCCATATAGCTTTTGCATTCACTTGGAAATACTTATAATTTGGGTTGAAGAGGAGAAAGTAAACTGAATTAACATTTAACACAAGCCAAATGTGATCATTTTAAAACAAGCTTAAAAATAACAGGTAAACCATGTGCACACAGCTGGCTTGATTTCAGGAATCTTCCCAGAATTTTGTGGAATTAACACCATGAAGCAAGCAGGAGACAATTTGTTTTACAGAGTAAGGAAAAAACACACAGTCTAACAAAGAGCAGTTTATTTTGGAAGCTCATCATATTCAACTGGTGAGCTTTTATTCTACTAAATCATGACAAAGCAAATCACAGTTACAAAGTGTAATCACTTTATGATGCCTCGATCTTTTATGTTGAAATGATATTAAGTACATTGAAGAATGAAAATACTCTTCGTTGCAAACCAGAATTGTGACCACCTGTGCTTACCTTCTCTTTCAGAATTCAGAAGCACCATCTTAAAGCGGTTTGGCAGTTCAGGAACAAGATCATCAGTGATATTTACAGTTATGTACTTATATTGTTCTCCAGGCTTAAAATCCAAAATGCCAGATGTTTCCTGCAAACCAATTTAAATTCAAATTTAGTAGGTTTTCGCTAGCTCACCATTTTAGGTTCTTTGATGACCAAGTATTAAGGTACACGATGAATGCAATCAAAAATCTAAGGATAGTTGGAGTCGCACAAAAAAGCAGAAAATCTAGTTTCTGAGACAATTGGCTAGGATTTTTATCTGGGCGCAAATGCATTTTTCAGTGTGAGAACAGCAATACTTTGACATAACTCTTCAGGAGAACCAATTTTACTGTGAATGTTCAACCTCACATAAATTTCCTCTGACCTGTTTGTTGGTCAGGAATGCCTAGTGTGCAACACCAGCCACCAATGAGGTTGAGTTTAGCATTTTAAATGGGAGACAACAATCAGATTCCTTTCTACACACCATTTTCATCTGGTGGTGCAAGGTTTTGGAAGCTGATTGAATGAATGCTGGATTTGAGAGTTCATGAAGAAAATGGAGAACATCCCTGGGCATTGGGAACATCCTGAAACACTTGAGTATAAAATGTTATTGCACCTTCAAATGTCACTATGAGGTGCTGCATGGTAATGTAGTTGTGTTGTTAAAGCACTGAATCATTATTAGGATTGAACCTTTAAAACTATTTTGGCCCTTATATTGAACAGTATAGTTTCATTGTTCACATGAATTATAACATTTTTCTAGTAATAAAGCAGTTAAAATGTTACAAAATATCACACCAGCCTGTGTCGTATTTTCTACTGTGATTCAAATGGCTCCAACTAATTAAAAAAAATTATTTTGTCACTTAAGAAAAATTTGCATTCGGAAAAGTTTAAATATCTGTTTCCAACTATTCAATGACAGGCATTTATCCTTCAAAATTGAAATGGCATCGTGCTTTCTCAACCTCATCCCCACCTGAGGTGTAGTGACCCCTCAGGTTAAACTCAAGACTGGTCATCTCTCTATTCTCGAGATAGTAGGAACTGCAGATGCTGGAGAATCTGAGATAACAAGGTGTAGAGCTGGATGAACACAGCAGGCCAAGCAGCATCAGAAGAGCAGGAAGGTTGATATTTCGGGCCTAGATCCTTCTTCAGAAAAATCTTGTTATCTCTCTGTTCTCCTCTGGGACTATGACAACCATGTTTTTATCAAAGTATCCTTCTGTTATTTCATTGATAATGGATTCAAGCATTTAATCAATGATTGATGATGGGCTAGATGGTCTATAGTCTTGTTTTTACTGTTTCCCTGCTCTATTACATGACAGTGTTACATTTGTGCTTTTCTCTACTGGTCTGGGCCAGTTTAACATCTCATTACTAATGCAACTAGTGTCGATATTGCTCTTCATAATCTCTCCAACAGTCCTCATTGAAACAGAGCTGGTTATCCTGGCCTAATAATAATGGCACTGAGACAAAAGCCATAAGGTAACTGACTGTGCTGTAATATAATTCTGCCATTAATGATGGCCCACGTCATCTGGTGGATGCCTATTGAGAGCTGCTAGATCTATTCCAAATCTATCCCATTTAGCTCTGCGTAGATGGCACACAGCACATTACAGAATGTTGACAGCATACAGAAAGGACCTCATCTCCACAAGAGATATGCAGTGGTCAATGACAACACAGACGGATGCATTTGCAAAGTTAGTTTGGTGAGGACAAAATCAAGAAGGTTTTTCTTCTCTTGTTGGCTCTCTTCGTAATCAGGAAGATCCAGACTGACTTTCAGAATTCAGCCAGTTCCATCATTAGTGGTGCTATTGAGGCACCCTTGTTGGGAAGACCCTCACCCACAGAACATACTGGGGATTGACTACTCTCAATGTTTTTTCCAAGTACTGCCCAATATGTAGGGGTACTGATTCATCAGCTCTGAGAAAGTGATAGGTTGTCACCAGCAAGAGCCTTCATTGCCCAGTTTAACCTAATGCTATAAGATTTCATGGAGTCCAGAATCAATGTTGAGGACTCCCTGATCAAATCCTAACTGTATACCAATGTGCCACATCTTTGGCGGGTTCCTCCTGCTGTTGACATGGGATCTGAGCAGGATGATGGAGGAGATCGTGACATTGGTTGAAACATGTGATGCTCTGAGCATAACAGTCAGACTGTTGCTTAACTAGCCTGTGGGACAGTTGTTCCAATTGTGAAACAAGTCCCCAGATGTTAGAGAGGAGGATTTTGCAGAGTTAATAGGGCAGACTGAGCCATTGTCACTTGCAATGCTGCGTGATATGCCTGGTTTTATTCTCATCTGACTTCTTCATTGCAACTTCTCCATGGATTGCTAAGCCACTTCACAGGGCAGTTAAGAGTCAACCATATTGCCATTAGCCTGAGGCTATACTATCTTGGACTGAAATAATCTCTTCAGTACATTGACATTTTGGTTTGTTTTACTCAATGGTTCTGACACAATTGCTATAAAATCATTAATCTTACTGAGAAAAGTGTTGAAGATTTAAAGAGAATATCTTTTGTTTAAAAAAAATCAGTTTTCAACTCACCTGGTAATCAGATGGACTGGAAGCTGTCAGAGGAACAGTTTGGTATGCTACCATGATATTTCCCAGAAGACCCTGTGCACGGACAACTAGCAATCTGAGTAGGCCAACCTCCTCCTTCACTCTGATGCTTGGTACGGAGAGGGCAGGGGGGATAACTGAGTCACCATCAGGTGGTAGCTGCGTGGAAAATTGTAGCAAACCTGAAACAAGTTACAATAAGTGATGACTTTAAGGCTCATTTACAATACTTACTAATTTGAAGTGTCTTTCCAAACCCTTAATCATAGTTGCTTATAGATAATTGTTTCAATGTGAAGTGGTTAACAAATTGAGATAGATGTGCTGCTAATTTCAGAGGAAGGAGCCAGAAATTGGACAATATCTGAGTTCAAACCCATTTTTAGATGAATATGTCAATCAGATTTTTTGCACCATTCATGTCAGTTGAATTTTTCTTTTCCCTCTCACTTGGATTGCATGACCATAGAGCTCGTGATGAGGCTTGTTTTTTTTTATTTCTACCTGCTTCATCCCAATTCCTAAAATATTCAATCGTTGTGCTCATAATTGTCTTCTATTTCTATGATTTCTCTCATTATGCCGGTTTTTGTTCCAATGTTAGTATCATTTCTGTGAGTTAACCTTCTCCTGTTCTTCAGTTAAACAGCTTACAAATCATGCCTTTATTCTTATGTCCACATTTTCCTAACTCTTCCCTCTGATCTGTTACTTTATTTAGATGCTGTATACCATGTTATCCTTCAGTTTTGACAGATGCTCCCAACTGAAAAATTAGTCCTGATATTTGTCATAGAAACAGTGAGGCTAATTGCACTCACTGTTATTTATGCTTAAAGATTGTGCAACTCCAGGTGAGGTGCAGATATGCACTTCAGTGCCAATATCCAAAAATTACTGTTTACAGCGAGCCACATCTAGTTTTGGAAGAACAATTTCTTCCTAACTGCATCACCACCAAAGTCTTGCAAATGGTATGAAATATCAGAATCAGATACAAGTTACACCTGCCATAGAAAGTTAAGATTTAGCAGGATAATCTCAAATAACTTTCTCTCAACCTGATAAATGTTGAATTACAGCCACAGAACCATTCTGACACTGAAGATTAATTAGTAAATTTGTAGCCTCGTTCCTTCAGAATTATTTGTTGGAAGTTTTAAATATGTCAAATCACAAAGCTGCACCTTTTTATTTTGACTCTTCATTTTGTCTCTGTCTCAAAATTTTCCTTTCCTTTCTTTCTGAACCTGACTGGATATTGAATCCACTTATTCTAATTCTCTGTCCTTGCATTGTAAATGCCACAAACCTTCAATCTGATTAGTTATGGATATACACAATGATTTGCTTTGTTCACTCAGACCCCAGATATCCTATTTGCCTTCTTATGACATTATCAACCAAAATACTTCCAGCAACTTATCACACAAACCTAAGCAAACAAAGACATGCCTGATTAACAGCAGACACCACCAAGATGTCTCAAGACAGCATTATTTGACCCATAAACTCAACCTGAACTGCTATGTACTTTCAGTTACTCTTGATTTGATTTTTGCTTTTTGTCCTTTGCCCAGTTGTAAGCTTGATGTTAGATGGTATGGAGGCATTATGCATTAGTTAGTAAAGCACTAGATAGCTAATACAAACAGGAAACACTAGGGTAAAGGATATTAAGCACTTACTGTACCAAGATAATTCAGCACTGCTGCTTCTCAAGCAAATAATGATGGATTAAAGCCCCACAAAAATAAACCATGTTATTATTTCTGGGAAATACTGCACTGTCAATTAAGCTTCTTATGGAATAATATAACGAGGTTTATAATATATAATATGATGAGGTCACAGCACTACTCAAGAACACAAGGATCTCCAGATATTCTGACTAACCCTTAGCCAACACAGCAAAACAGGTTAACTAGCCATTTGTGACCTTATTCTTTCCTAAACTGAAAGGTTTATCTGTTAACTTAACAACCATGAACATATCTCAAGCAAATCATTAGCTATGACGTATCTTGGGGTTTCCTAGGGATTTATAAGTGTTATATTAAGCAAGTTCATTCTTGATTTTGACCTTTTCACATCCCTGTTCAATGCCTTTGAATAATACCATCATAATTTAATCCCTGAAGTCAAAGAGTTCCAATTTCATCATCTCTGGCGAACAATTGGTTTTAGCTAGTGCTCATCAGTAACACTGAAGTACATTCAACACTTTGGGGCTGCACACTGCTTTGGCAAACCATACAGTGTTCCAGGGTCATCACAAAGATGCAGATAAACTCCAGATTATCTTCTCCACTGCTATTAAATTCCTCTATCCCACGTCCTTCACCCTCAGCAACCGCCATATGTGGTGGAGACTTTTAAAATATTGTGGACTAGTTTATCACTAAGAGTGACACTGTCCATTCAGTTACCTGCTGATTGTCCACTAAGCTAACCCTTTCCTCAATACAGTAATTATTTGGACAAGAAGCAACATTACTAGACCTATGTAGAGCTTTCTGAAGGAGAAGATACAGCTGCATCATCTCTTTTCCAGTCTTAGACTTTTTGGCAGCTCAATTCCAGCCAGCATGGTTGCTGTGCTGCCTTTATTACACATTGTGTTGCATTGTGGGAATTGGTTAACTCAGTTAGCTGGATGGCTGATAAAGGAGAATGATGCCAACAGCACAGGCTCAATTCCAGGACTATCTGAGGTCCCTATAAAGATCCCACCTTCTAAATTTCATCCCTCACCTGAGGCATGGTGACCCTCAGGTTAAACCACCACCAGTCATCTCTCTGTAATGAAAGAGCAGCCCTACAGTCCTCTGGGACTATGGCAACTTTACCTGTATTGCACATCAAGAGAAGTGCCATTCTATCTATTGGAGAGCTTTTTCCTGCTCTTATATTTGTTCTCCTCTGCCACTTATGCCAAGTCAGATTTCCATGAAAATGAAAAAATGATTATATCTTCTTGCCTGTCGAAATTTGGCCAAAGTTCAAATATACCAATTTCAAATGAGAACTAGCAATGGCTGTTTTAACCTCAAAATATGGGCTGTTTGCCACTTGAATATTAATTCAGCCAATAAATAATAAACAAAAACACCCAAATACATAATCTTCAGCATAAAAGTGCATAGAAGTCGCTTCTACAACGTCACTTTGACATCATGGAACACAGTAAAGCTATAATCAAGACCAATTTTCATCTCAAAAGTGAAAGCCTCAGTATATCAGGATACTTTACAAATTACAAAGTTGCTGGAAAAGCTCAGCAGGTCTGGCAGCATCAGTGAAGGAGAAAACAGAGTTAATGTTTCGGGTCCGGTGACCCTTCCTCAGAGCCAAAGGGTCACCGGACCCGAAATGTTAACTCTGTTTTCTTCTTCACAGAGCTTTTCCAGCAACTTTGTTTTTGTTCCTGATTTACAGCATCCGTAGTTCTTTTGGTTTTTACTTTACAAATTACATGGTCCTAAATAGTAATTAATTTTTAATCACAATATAAGCATTAGCATGAGTATTTTATCACATAATTACCATTTGGATGGTCACTGGATTTTATAGTGATTTCTGTGCTGGCCTTCTCTGGGTCTATACTGGCTCCACTGGTTGGAGTGGAGCCCATTTTACCATCTCCAGAAATTGCAGAAACCAGAGAAACGATGAAGTGTTCAGCAAGCTCAGGCAAGTCGTCATCTATGACATGTATATTCAAAACCTTCATAAAAAGCGGAAGCACCAAAATTAGAACTGAGACCCAAAAAAATGAATTCAGCTGGTAAATAATATGATCAGGAAAAATAATCAACCACCCCATGCCTTATTAGAACCTGTCCTGTTGAAATCCTAGTTTTTAAAATAGTTAATTTTACTTTCTATTTATTCAAGGATTTTGTTCCAAATAAAATTATACAGAAGAATCTGAAGTAGACAAAATAACTGAAACAAAGAATTTATCTTATGCAATAGATGAGGTGATGTCATAAATTCTTTACAAAAATATATGCAGTGCACGCAATGAGAATCTTGCCTCCATGAAGATTGAGAGAACCAATGCCTGAATACAACTAGATTAATAGAAATTTCCCAGATTTTTCTGTCTCTTGAAATGACTCTGGATTTTGAAAAAAAAATTAACTGACTCCCACAATAGGTCAGAGACAGTAGGAACTGCAGATGCTGGAGAATCTGAGATAACAAGGTGTAGAGCTGGATGAACACAGCAGGCCAAGCAACATCAGAGGAACAGGAAAGCTGACGTTTCGGGCCTAGACACTTCTTCAGAAATGGGGGAGGTGAAGGGGGTTCTGAAATAAATAGCGAGAGAGGGGGAGGCGGATAGAAGATGGATAGAGGAGAAGATAGGTGGAGAGGAGACAGACAGGTCAAAGAGGCGGGGATGGAGCCAGTAAAGGTGAGAGTAGGTGGGGAGTTAGGGAGGAGATAGGTCAGTCCAGGGAGGACGGACAGGTCAAGGGGGCGGGATGGGGTTAGTAGATAGGAGATGAGGGTGGGGCTTGAGGTGGGAGAAGGGGATAGGTGGGAGGAAGGACAGGTTAGGGAGGCGGGTATGAGCTGGGCTGGTTTTGGGATGCGGTAGGGGGAGGGGAGATTTTGAAGCTTGTGAAGTCCACATTGATACCATTGGGCTGCAGGGTTCCCAAGCTGAATATGAGGTGCTGTTCCTGCAACCTTCGGGTGGCATCGTTGTGGCACTGCAGGAGGCCCAGGATGGACATGTCGTCTGAGGAATGGGAGGGGGAGTTGAAATGGTTCGCGACTGGGAGGTGCAGTTGCTTAGTGTGAACCGAGTGTAGGTGTTCTGCAAAGCGGTCCCCAAGCCTCCGCTTGGTTTCCCCGATGTAGAGGAGGCCACAATGGGAACAGCGGATGCAGTATACCACATTAGCAGATGTGAGGTGAACATCTGCTTGATGTGGAAAGTCTTCTTGGGGCCTGGGATGGGGGTGAGGGGGGAGGTGAGGGGCAGGGGCAGGTGTAGCACTTCCTGCGGTTGCAGGGAAAAGTGTCAGGTGTGGTGGGGCTGGAGGGGTGTGTGGAGTGGACAAGGGAGTCACGGAGAGAGTGGTCCCTCCGGAAAGCAGATAAGGGTGGGGAGGGAAAAATGTCTTTGGTGGTGGGGTCGGATTGCAGATGGCAGAAGTATCGGAGGATGATGCGTTGGATCCGGAGTTTGGTGGGGTGGTACGTGAGGATGAGGGGGATTCTGTTTTGGTTGTTATTGCGGGGAGGGGATGTGAGGCATGAGTTGCGGGAAATGCGGGAGACACGGTCGAAGGCATTCTTGACCACTGACGGGGGGGAAGTTGCGGTCCTTGAAAAATGAGGACATCTGAGATGTACGGGAGTGGAATGCTTCATCCTGGGAGCAGATGCGGCGGAGGCGAAGGAATTGGGAATAGGGGATGGCATTTTTGCAGGAAGGTGGGTGGGAGAAGGTATATTCTAGGTAGCTGTGGGAGTCGGTGGGCTTGAAATGGATATCGGTTTCTAGGTGGTTGCCAGAGATGGAAACAGAGAGATCCAGGAAGAAGAGAGAGGTATCAGAGATGGTCCAGGTGAACTTAAGGTTGGGGCGGAAGGTGTTGGTGAAGTGGATGAACTGTTTGTGCTCTTCATTGGAGCAAGAGGCCTCTAAATCGCCGAAGCCAGGCGCCAACTCTCCAACACCTCCTCCTACCGCTACCTTGATCATGACCGCACTCCCGAGCACCAAACCATCATCTCCCAAACCATCCACAACCTCATCACCTCAGGTGACCTCCCACCCACAGCCTCCAAACTCATTGTTCCCCAACCCCGCACTGCCCACTTCTATCTCCTTCCCAAAATCCACAAACCTGACTGCCCTGGTCGACCCATTGTCTCTGCCTGCTCCTGCCCCACCGAACTTATCTCCACCTATCTCGACTCCATTTTCTCCCCATTGGTCCAGGAACTCCCTACCTATGTCCGTGACACCACCCACGCCCTCCACCTCCTCCAGAACTTCCAATTCCTCGGTCCCCAACACCTCATCTTTACCATGGACGTCCAGTCCCTCTACACCTGCATTCCCCATGCAGATGGCCGAAAGGCCCTCCGCTTCTTCCTGTCCCACAGGCCCGACCAGTCCCCCTCCACTGACACCCTCATCCACTTAGCTGAACTCGTCCTCACCCTTAACAACTTCTCTTTCAATTCCTCCCAATTCCTACATACAAAGGGGGTGGCCATGGATACCTGCATGGGCCCAAGCTATGCCTGCCTTTTTGTAGGTTACTTGGAACAATCCCTCTTCCGTAGCTACACCGGCCCTAAACCCCACCTCTTCCTCCGTTACATTGATGACTGCATACTACAACTGCGCCTCCCTTGTCCGCGGGTTTTATGGTGACGTTGGGATTGGAGAGGAGGGAACGGAGGGCTGCACATTCTGTGGGGGAGAGGTTGGAGTGGGTGAGAGGGGTGGAGAGGTTGAAGCGATTCATGTCTCGACGGCAGTTGGAGATGAAGAGGTCGAGGGAGGGTAGGAGGCCTTGGGGTGGTGTCCAGGAGGAGGGAGTGTGTTGGAGGCGGGAGAAGGGGTCAGTAGAGGGAGGGTTAGGCTCACAATTAAAGAATTAAGCGCGGAGGCGGAGGCAGCGGAAAAACTGTTCAATGTCCAAACGTGACCGGTATTCGTTGATGTGTGGGTGGAGGGGGACAAAGATGAGCCCTTTACTGAGGACTGACCATTCGTCCTCAGTAAGGGGGAGGTCTGGGGAGATGGTGAAACCCGGCAGGGCTAGGTGCTATTGTCTCCTCTGGAGCTGCTGGCTGTGGAGGCGACAGGCGGAGCAACATTGGTGGTGAGCGGAGTGATGTCGGCATCGGTGGTGGGCAGAGTTGCGTCGGCATTGGCAATGGGCGGAGTTGCGTTGGCATCGGCGGTGGGCAGAAATCCCTCTTCCGTAGCTACACTGGCCCTAAACCCCACCTCTTCCTCCGTTACATTGATGACTGTATCGGCGCCACCTCGTGCTCCCACAAGGAGCTCGAATAGTTCATCCACTTCACCTACACCTTGCACCCCAACGTTAAGTTCACCAGGACCACCTCTGATACCTCTCTCTCCTTCCTGGGCCTCTTTGTTTCCATCTCTGGCAACCACCTAGAAACCGATATCCATTTCAAGCCCACCGACTCCCACAGCTGCCTAGAATACACCTCTTCCCACCCACCTTCCTGCAAAAATGCCATCCCCTATTCCCAATTCCTTCGCCTCCGCCGCATCTGCTCCCAGGACGAGGCATTCCACTCCCGTACATCTCAGATATCCTCATTTTTCAAGGACTGCAACTTCCCCCCCTCAGTGGTCGAGAACGCCCTCGACCGTGTCTCCCACATTTCCCACAACTCATCCCTCACACCCCTTCCCCACAATAACAACCAAAACAGAATCCCCCTTGTCCTCACGTACCACCCCACCAACCTCCGGATCCACCGCATCATCCTCCAAAACTCCAGCAATCGGAAATCGACCCCACCAACAAAAAAAATTTTTCCCTCCCAACCCTTATCTGCTTTCCGGAGGGACCACTCTCTCCGTGACTCCCTTGTCCGCTCCACACTACCCTCCAGCCCCACCACACCCGGCACTTTTCCCTGCAACCGCAGGAAGTGCTACACCTGCCCCTACACCTCCCCCCTCACCCCTATCCCAGGCCCCAAGAAGACTTTCCACATCAAGCAGATGTTCACCTGCACATCTGCTAATGTGGTATACTGCATCTGCTGTTCCCGTTGTGGCCTCCTCTACATCGGGGAAACCAAGCGGAGGCTTGGGGACCGCTTTGCAGAACACATTCACTCAGTTCGCACTAAACAACTACATCTCCCAGTCGCGAACCATTTCAACTCCCCCTCCTATTCCTCAGATGACATGTCCATCCTGGGCCTCCTGCAGTGCCACAACGATGCCACCTGAAGGTTGCAGGAAGAGCACCTCATATTCTGCTTGGGAACCCTGCAGCCCAATGGTATCAATGTGGACTTCACAAGCTTCAAAATCTCCCCTCCCCCTACCGCATCCCAAAACCAGCCCAGCTCATCCCCGCCTCCCTAACCTGTCCTTCCTTTTACCTATCCCCTCCTCCCACCTCAAGCCCCACCCCCATCTCCTACCTACTAACCTCATCCCACCCCCTTGACCTGTCCATCCTCCCTGGACTGACCTATCTCCTCCCTACCTCCCCACCTACCCTTACCTTTACTGGCCCCATCCCCGCCTCTTTGACCGGTCTGTCTCCTCTCCACCTATCTTCTCCTCTATCCATCTTCTATCCGCCTCCCCCTCTCTCCCTATTTATTTCAGAATCCCTTTCCCCTCCCCCATCCCTCAATAGGTCACATGGCTCAGGATTCTAATTTTAATTTTTCATGATAAATGCATGCAGCTCATAAAAACACAAGTCTAGAAGAGGCTTTAATGCCAACAATGTACCATTTCCTACACTAGTCCTACTTTCCCATACTAGGCCTATAGCCTTGAATGCCAGGTACACTAACTGTAGTTGTCCAGACATTCAGACGCAAGATCAATAATCCCTAAAGAATGCCCCAGGAGGCCATTTGAAATCAAAACACCCACTATATGTTAGTCTTCCTTAAAATGTGCTGTTGAAGATCACACTCTGGGACTTCTGCCTTCTTCCATAGGCCAAGCGTGTTTACCAGCTCAAAGTGCAAGACAATCAACTTCCTACCCTTCCAGAAACAATGAGCTACACTGGAGTGATCATTTGTCACTCACACTGTAGAAGCGGTACACTAATGGAGCCTGAGGATCAATGTTTCTTGAGCATCATGTCAGCATCACTAAGTCAGTGCATCTGACTTAACGATCATCTTGAAAATCACCCTGACAATATCATGGTCTCCAGCTGTTATGGTTCTCTGTTATACTGCAAGGTAAGAAATTCAAGAGAACGTGTAAAAACTGCAGCTATGTTGCACCACCTATTGGTACTCTAAGGCACTCCACACCCTGGCATCAAGAATTAATTTTCAGTGCTTCAATTTATCATTACCTCTGAGCTTTGCCAAGGTTCAAAGGTAATAGTGCCAGTGGAATTGCCAAGATCACTGATATTGCTGTTGTCAAGTTCAATCTGTGAGATAGTGTAATTCACATAAACATAATCTAAGGCACCTCTTGTTCTTTCCACAACACATGAGATTGTAGATCCCTCTTCAGATGTCTGGAAGAGAAAAACAAAGTAAAAAATTTATTGGTGGGTAGTTCAAATGATTCTCAAATAAAACATATGGGATTTAACTGGAAGGAGAACAGGAAAAAATATACTAATAAATGAGAGAATAACAGAATAAGCAGCTATGGATCAGTTAGCCAATTGACATTTTAAATATTAGGGAAACTCTCAGGGCCCAAAATTCTTGAACTAATGTTCCAATGGCAGTGTACACCAAGGGTGTCCTCCAGCTACTGACTGAGATGGATATTAACCACGTTCTGATCCTGGTAACAGAATTATTTTAACATTCGGCGTAAATAACAAACTGTCTCACTCCAAGTAGCCGATGGGGAAATAAGTGACAGACACCATGCTACTCCAACAAAGAGTGAAAGAAGGTCTTGTTAAACTGGGAAAAAAAGTATCATTGTAAGACAATCAATCCTGTAGGTATCAATTGTCTTTGACAGGGAATACTTTTTGTGGCCAACTACAGAAAATACAATTGAATCAGAGATAGTAGGAACTGCAGATGCTGGAGAATCCGAGACAAC